GAGTAAAAGTAATAGAGAGCGACCCGATTCGGTCAATAATTTTAAGTATTTAAATTTAATTATCTTAAATAATTTATTTTACTAAGCTATATATCAATGCACACAAAATTATAATATAATAAATACAAATACTAGATTTAACACAATTTTTAACTATGGATTTAAGGGCAAATTACGACTCTCTCTCCTAAGATAGGGGGTGAACGAGCCGAGCTCATCCAGTATTTTTTTTGGCTCGGGCACGAACTTGAGCCAATTTTGACGAGTTTGAGCTCGAGTCCAAGTTTATTTTAGCTTTTTTTTTTGAATTAATTATAATGAAAAATTATTTATATTATAACAAAAAAATACAAAATAATAAATGAAACTGTAATTATATATTTTTTAATTTTGTTATGTTCTTCCTATATTATTACTATAACATTATATAATATTTAAATAAAAATAACATATAAAAATAAAAATAAATTAAAGGAGGGCTTGCGAGCCGGTTCGTGAGTTTACGAACAACTAAAAAAAGTTCGAACTCGACTCGTCAAAAATTTCAAACTCGACTACTTATTGTTTTACAAGTCCATCCTTACGGTGTCAAAATTAACTATTGAATGAATGAAGGGTTTTTTCGTAAAAGAAATACATAGTTGATGGATGATTGTAATTACCCAAATATGTGGGATCTTTTGTAATTTGATCTTACCTCAGGGGTTAGTCGTAATTTGGATATGAATTTAATTTTTTTTTTTTCCTCCTTTCAAAAAGTATTATCATATTATTTAATAAAATAATGTAGAATTACAAGATTCTGTCTGCAGTAGAAATAAGAAAAAAAGTAAATATATAGTACTGTATTTTTTGTACACAAATGTCGTCATCTCCCCCGCACACGCGCACACACTGTGTTCGTGCGTGCGTGAAGTTACATCAGCTCCATCTCTTCAAACCGCACACACACTCACAGAGAGAGAGAGAGAGAGAGAGAGAGAGCGAAACTGCCATTTATAGAGAGAGAAACTCAGAAAGAGAGAGGTGGGATTCATCAAAACCATTGACACTTTCTCCCTCTGTCTCTCTCTCACACACACACACACACACACACACACGCACGCAATACACGTTTCTTTCTGCAAGTAATATATAATTACCATGGGCGTGCATGAAATCAAATTTAAACTGAGCTGAAAGTGAAGCAGAAAAAATAAATAAAAATTCCATCTTTACAGTGGGAAGCAAATTAAAGAAAAAGTGCACCCCACTCACTGAGTTAGGTACTAAAAAAAAAGAAGGGCAATCCTAGAGAGAGAAACTCTGTATTTTTCCTTTTTTATTTTTCTGAATTCTTATCTTTTTAAATAAATTAGAGAAAAAAAAAGTTGATTTTGTTTTCTCTTCAGGTACTTTTTTTCTTTTTTTTTTGAGTAAAAAGCAGTTTGCCCCCTAAATTACGAGTCGTTTTGCACTTTGCCCCCCAAACAAAAAAAATTAGCACGTATTTACCTGAACTCATTAATTCGTTGCACGGTGCGGCCTAAACTAAATTATCCGGCAATTTTGGACGGAATGTTAAATCATATGCATAGCACGTGCAATTTACAGGGGTAAAGTTGTCAATTTACTTAAGTTCTACGCATAAATATAAAATAATCATTTAAAAAAAAAAGAAAAAATCAGAACACCTACCACATGCCTATATACTTTTTTATTCTCCATTGATTTCCTCTATTCTATTTTATTCTTTGCCGTTCATTTATCCTCCACCGCCGCCTCCAATTCCCACCACTTCCGCCGCCGCGATTCACCTGACCAACTCCAGCACAACAACTGAGAGCGGAATCCAACAACAAGACCCACCCCGAAATCCCAGCCCATAACCCCAGACCACAACCCTAGCCCACAAGCGCCCACCATCCCATTGTTAATGTACTCTGTTTTGCCGGCGACGAGGCTAATCAGGAGGCGAAGCCGTGGAACTTGGGCTGACGAAGGAGCCCGTCAAAGCTTCAGCTGCGAAATCGAAGAAGGACGCACGTGCTAAGAACAAGATCAACATCAACAAGAATGGGGTAAAATTGCGGAGGCTGAGAGAATTGGTGGACACTTATGATTTTGATTTCTCTCTCTCTAAGGAAGAATCGAGGACATTTATGATTTGACCGGAGAGAGAGTGGACATTGGAGGCCATATGGTGGATGCGGTGGAGGTAGATGGAGGATATAATTAGGCGGAGGTAAGAGAGTACGATGAGGCATAGTCGGGATCGGAGGAGAGATAAATAAGGGCGGCGAAGATGGAGGAGAAAGTGGCGGAGGAAAGGGAGGGACTAGGGAGCGTGTCGGGCGGTCGGTGTCGGCGAGGGTGGAGAGAGGATCATGAATGCAAGATCGAGCTTTGGAGTGCGTAGGTAAATCGCCGGTGGTGGGTGGGCGAGGGAAGATGTTGTTGCAGGTGGTTTTTTTTCTTTATTTACTTTTTTTTTTATGTTAATGATTTAATTAATATTTAATATATAAAATGGAAGAGAATGTATGAATTTACCCCTGCGAATTTCACGTGTTTAACTTTCCGTCCAAAATTGCCGGAATATTCGGTTTAGGGGGCAAACTGCAACAAATTGACGAGTTTAGGTAAAAACGTGCAATTTTTTTTTGTTTGGGAGGCAAAGTGCAAAATGGCCATTAATTTAGGGGGCAAACTGCTTTTTACTCTTTTTTTTTTTTGATCTCATGGGCCTTGTCTGCATGTAAGGCGCTGATTCTTTATGGTGAACAGTGACCTATTTTGGCTCAGTTCACAATAATAGTGGGGGTGGGGGTGCAAGAAAACAAACTATAAACACAGAGGGGCCATAAAATAAATTACACAGCCAAGAAAGAAAATTTAGAACCTGGGTTTTTTTTCTTTTGTTTGAATATATATTTAATGTCTGAGTACTGATTGATGACTATTGAGTGTAGGTTCATATGTCGGTTCTAAGAGGGTTCTTACATTGCTAAAGCATTCTTATCAGGGAGCCAAAAATAAATAAAAATAATACAAAGAGAGAATATTTGCGAGAAATTCGGAGAAAAAGCTGAACTTTTTTTTTTTTTTTTTTCTTGAAGGTGGGTGATAAATTTCAGGTGTGTATTCACTTCTCAGTTCTCCCTCTTTGTGTTAAAGATTTGATTTTTTTACTTTGATTTTGATTTCTGCATACTGACAACTGATTTTAAGTACAAGGGTTCTTGGTTTTTGTTCTTCTTTGTGTTAAAGATTTGATTTTTTTACTCTGATTTTGATTTCTGCATACAGAAAACTGATTTCAAGAACAAGGGTTCTTCATTTTTTATTTTCTGTGTTAAAGATTTGATTTTTATCAATTCTTGAAATGCTTTTACTTTGATTTTGCATACATAAAACTGATTTCAGGAACAAGGGTTCTTGATTTTTGATTTTCTCTGTGTTAAAGATTTGATTTTTATTTAATTCTTGACTTTTTTTTACTTTGATTTTGCATACAGAGAACTGATTTCAAGAAAAAGGGGGTTCTTGATTCTTGCAATGGCAGATTATGGCTCCGATCAATCCCCCAAAATGAATTACAGACAGCTCACATCCTCGTTTTTCACTTCACCTAGGTTGTTTTCAAGAAGCCCTAATGAAACAGAATCATCCATTACAAGCAGCCCAACTTCAATTCTTGATTCCAAGCCATTTTCTTGCCTGAACAAAAACCCCTCTGCCCCCTTGTCAAAAACCCCCAAACCAGAAGCCAAGAATCTCTATTGGGACAAACTAGACACTAGGAAAGTCAGCCTTGGCCTTGTCGACGCCCTCATTGACGAAAAGCCCTGCCCGAATTCATCGAAACCGAACACGAGAATGGTTCTATTCGGTTCGCAGTTGAAAATCCAAGTCCCTCCGTTGCCTCCCTCCGTTTTTTCCCCCAACGAATCCCCAAAATCTCCGGGTGATTTCGGTATCAAGACCCGAAATTCTCATGTGTTCGACCCGTGCTCGCCTTCGCCCGTTAAGAAATCCCCGTTTAGCTCGTCGAATTCGGGTCTTTTGACTAGCCTCTCTGCTAGCGAAATCGAGCTTTCGGAGGATTACACTTGCGTGATATCTTACGGTCCGAACCCTAGAACCACCCATATATTCGAGGACTGCATTGTCGAGAGCTGCTGTGGAGTTGTGAAATTCTCCGAATCGAGAAAGGAGAATGTTTCGATTCCCCATAATAGGTCTATGAGTTATCCGTCGGAGAGTTTCCTTAGTTTCTGCTACAATTGTAAGAAGAATCTTGGACAGGGGAAAGACATTTACATGTATAGGTTGGTTTTCTTTTCGAACTTTGAATTTGTTTTAGTAACTTCTTGGATGTGTAGATTCCGATCCGAAATTTCCAGATTTTCGATTTTTCCGATTTTTTTTGGATCAGAATTGGAAATTCCGATTTCTGATCCGATTATAATTTCCGAAAATAATTCAAAAAATTCCATTTTTTTCCGATAATTTCAATATTATTATCTCGATCCAAAAATTTCCGGTTTTGGAATATATTTTTTCACTCCGACTTCCGGAAAAAAAAATTAAAAATTTTTCGAAAGTGATAATTCCGATATGATCCTTTCGATTACTTCCCGTGACTGTTTCGTGTTTTTAGGGGCGAGAAGGCGTTTTGTAGCAGCGAATGTCGTTATACGGAGATGATGCTCGAGGACGATGACGACGAGGATGAGGTGGGGCCCACCGCAACTTCCGACACCGACGAGGTTTACGGTACTTTTTCGTGATCGCCCGAAAATCAAGAATTTGTATAATAATGCTCATTTGTATTTGAGTGTGGTTTTTTGGGGTTGATTTTTTATTTGGAATAATTAAGGGTTAATCATGTTGTTTTAGAGATGATGATGATGATGATGTTAGAGCACTATTGTTGTAGATAATCATCTCATAATTTTAATTGAGTAGATTCCTTTTTTATTTTCTTTAATTAATTAATTAATGGTTGTGATCTTGTCATCTTTTGAATTGTTTAATGATGCCTAGTTTTAGCTTTGCACCTCGTATTTGGAGAAAGTGATTATCTTACATTATTGGATTAATACTTTAATTAGACTTATGGGCCATGTTTGGTGAGCATCTATTATTCAAGAAATGATTAATTCATGTAATAATAAATAATAATAATACAGATTTATGCAGCAAATCATTTTCAGGATTTTGTCCTTTTGAATATTGGTTGAGCAAGCTTAATTAATGTGTTAGAGATTAAGGAGGTGTTTGCAAAAGTTTAATCACATGCAGAAGGTAGTGATTGTGAATTAACTGCTTATTTAAAAAAAAATGGATGTTCAAATATTTTGAAAATTGAACTTAAATAGAAAAAACAACTTATTTTAAGAGAAGCAAAAATAAAAGTTAATTTTGCACATATCAATGAACAAATTATGAGCAAAACAAGCTCATAAGTTGTTTCTAAAAGCTTTTCCAAACACCACCTAACTATTCTTGAAATTATCTTTAACATGACCATGAATTGGGTCGGGCCTGTACTAGAATCGACCGCTTGTTGAAATAAGTGTCATTTTTTGCCATATTTTTCCATATTAAGTGTCACGTTAGAATTTCAAGGCAAAATTAATTAATTTAAACCAATTTTGGCGTCGAGCTTGTTAATTCGTACAACTAATTCATCGTTCTTCAACGTTTGTAAAGGGTAACTTGGGGCTTTTCCACTGAAAGAGAGGCTATATATCAGATTTCTTAATCTGTGTGCGTTCATCTTAACGACTCTTATTTGAAAGTAGATGCATTGGGTTTACCCAAACCGTCGAACCGATTGTACACTTTGATTAATTGACCGGCGAAAATGACGGTCAATATAATCGAATTATTGATCAACTGTCGATTTTGTTTTTTTCTCTCTCAAATACATGATTATGAATAGTTTGTTGTTCGATGATCAACGGTGGAAAATAATTGACGAAACAAATAAAAAAAATAAAATCTCTAGGGTTCATGTCAGCTAATATGAAATTATTTGAAATTGGTACAAATTGGGGAGACAGGACCAGGGGAGGGGACCGTTTGGCTCGTGAAATCTACAACCGCTGAATAATAGTAATAATTCAGAAATTAAAGTTTGGATTTTTAGGGACCATTTAGCAATTAGGGTTCTTGAAAAGCTCCAACGTCCAAATTTTGGATTTAACAGAGGTGTTTGTCTTTGTTGATACATCGAAGCGACAGTCGAAAGCAGGATAAATCGAATCGGAAAAAGAAAAAAAAATACAATTACCAAAATTTGGACTGGAAAGAGATGTTTGTTTTGTTGACACATTGAAGTTACAGTCGAAAACCGAACAGATCGACTTGAAAAAAAATAAAAAATAGTACAATTTACCAAAATTTGGACTTAAAGGAAGTGTTTGACTTTGTTGATGCATCGAAACTACAGTGTAAAACCGGATGGATCGAATAGGAGAAAAAAAAAGTATAATTAATTACCAAAATTTTCGAATAAAGTACAAAAAGATGGTTTTTTTGTGTAATAAAAGTAAAAAAATAAAATTTACATTTCAACAATAGGTTATTCAAAATCACATTAACTAGCTTGGTCAAGATTTCATTGACTAAATCAAGTGAATTAATGTTGGATTATATTGCACATATATTACAACAATTATATACAATTAATTCTTTACTAATAACGTAATAAATTAATGTGTCATTAACAAATCTGACAAGAGTGATAGTAATTAGTAATCCAATGGTCAAATTCACAAAGATGAGATTGTATGCATTTATTATAATTACATATAAACTTTATACCTATTTTTCTTACCTTTTGACCAATAAAATTTTAAATAATTTTCCAATGTAAAAACATAATACACCTATTATAAAATGGCTTAGTGTTCCTTCAATTTATTCACCAAACAAACTCAAAAATATTTGTAACAAAGAAATTAAAGAAAAAATGTCTCGTGTGTATGCTGTTTTGTTTCTCTTTGCAGTATCGGTTATCGCCATATCTCCATCTCTCACGAATTGTTTGGAAGAAGATTCGAATTCGATCAGTTTCGAAATCAGTGAATTAAATGAGCGAATAGTGGAAGAAGAAGACGCAATGTGGGATCTTGATTCATTAAAGCGCCACCACCACCACGACCACCACCACGCTCATCCTCCCCACCACGGCCACCACGCCCATCCTCCACATCATGGCCACCACGGTCATCCTCCGCATCACGGCCACCACGCTCATCCTCCACATCATGGCCACCACAGCCACCACCACCACCACGCTCCACCACCGGAAGGCTTCTGAAAGCAATATTAGTTGGTGGCCGGAACTTCATATATATTTTTTTAATTACTATTTGAATAATATGAGATTTTTCTCATGAATTATAGTGTCGGTTATATATATATTGTTCATGCTATACATTTTCAATATACACAATTTCTTTTATTTTTACATATGTTGCCAACGTAACTAATCTGCCTAACCTTCAAATTTATTTTTATTTCGGCATAAACAATTTTAAAATAACAAATATAAACATATCAACTTGCCTATCTTATGCCGCCTCTCTCGGCGAGCTTCGGCGAATTTCGTCCGGCCACCGTCTCGCCCCTCTCCGACCAACCGCTTTGTGGTACTTTAATCCCCAAATCCGATAATTATGCATATGTTCACCAATTAAGTAAAATTCTCCGAGGGTATTATTAAAATCGTGTATAAAAATTCAAATTTTTACAAGACTTGTGCATTTCTCCCGGAGTTTTCTGTAATTTTTCAGCTAAACTCCAAAGTTCATCGCAGTTCTAGATCGAGACGAACACGATCATGTAACCTAGAAACGGAATAACATAGATAATCGACGAAGAAATTGCCGTAATCCGATTTACGCACGCTTGCATAAAATGTTGGTTCTCATTAAACGGACATTCCTAAAATATATTTCGTTTCATTTGACCGAAGAGCACAAATAGTCGAAATTTTAATTTCCCATGAAAGGAAAACATTAAGAACGTCATTAACAAAATCTGACAAGATATCAGTAATAATCCAACCAATGGTCAAAGTTCAAGAGGATGTGTTACTGTAATTAGATTATGATCATCATTTATTATAATTACATATAATTATAAACTATATTGACAGATAAAATTAAATGATTTTCCAATAAACACACACTCGCACACACTTTCGACACACACGTATACAGAAACTCATCCACACTTTTGACACACACACCAACACACTTCACACACACACATACATATACACACACTCCAATACATTTTTCACACACAAACACACCTTTGACACACGGTTACAATTTGACGCGCACACACTCCGACACACTTCTCACTCACACACTTTTAACACACACATATACACACATACAATAATTACAAACCTACTACTCATCAAGTAATTACAGAACTGCCATACAACAAGTAATTATACCACTAAACAGATAATTACATAACTGACATTCAACAGGTAAATATAACACTACCACTCAACGGTAATTACAGAACTACCATTAATCACCTAATTGCCGCTCACCAAGTATTAGTGTTTTTTATATTTTAAAAATTTAAAATATATATAACTCATTAGTTATTTAGTCCGTGACACGATAGAAAAAAAAAAGGTGCAGTTTAGTAAGTGCAACTCTATTACCAATATTACCCCTCCCAAAATCCTCTATTTTCCTTGTTCACTTTTTATCTCCGTTAATTCCACCGGAAACTGCCATCCACCCACCAAATATCCATCGGTGACCTCCCCGAAATTCCGGCATGTCCGTCTCCGTTTCTATTCAGTCCGCCTCCCTCCGGCGCGATTCCGATTCAGAACCGTTGTTAGATTCCAGATATGGTAAGCCAATTCACACGATTTTTTTTTTATTTATTTTTTTTTAATTTTAATTTCATGTTGTATCTGAGCTCAAAAGCTTCTTGCTGATGGATGAAATGATTATAGAAAAATATATATGTGCGTTCATGTTCAGTTTTTTTTTTGGGGGGGCTTTGTGCAATTAAATTGGGGATTGATTAAGTAGTGACGATGACCTAGTTCGAAAATGTAAGAAATACTATTTGAGAAGTGGCGTATCAATTCGTAAATGCAATTATAACCCAGAAGAAATTGATTATACATTCAAGCATAGAATTATATGTGCTAGGGGAGAGGTGGAATTCACAATGAGTGTGTGTGTGTGTGTGTTTTGAAGTTTTTCATAAGGTAATGTATTTGTCACCACAATGCAGGGAAAGACGGCGTTGCGCCAACCACCGTAGACGAAGATACTGCTTCATCGAATAAAACTGTGTTGCGCAAGAAAAGATATTCTATTAACTCCATGAGTTGCTTTGGGGTTGAATTAACCCCCGATAATGTTGCCGTTGCGATGGTATATTTTGTTCAGGGTGTATTGGGCCTATCCAGGCTTGCAGTCAGTTTCTACATGAAAGATGATCTACACTTAGACCCCGCAGAGGTAATCAATTTATTAGGTAATTTCAGTTAATTCGTAAGTGATGATGCGCGGATGTGGTACCTGTCGAAATTTAAATCAAGAAAATACGTTTAGGAGAGAAAAAAAGAACAGTTTAATTTTCCAATAAGCGGTGTCAGTATTACAGGTCTGTCTACGTCGTACCACAAATACTATAAAGATGTACCCTCGATTGTTATTTTTCGATATACTTGTTTAGCTCCTAGGATAGTAAGTTTACGTGCATGTCCTTGTATCATCGAGACAAAGGTTGCGATCAGTCTGTTGGCTAATTTTTTTTTTCAGACAATATAAATTGTGCACTGTCTTAATCCGTTTGTTGGAATTAGTATAGCCAATTAGATTTCTATGACGTAAAAAATTAAGTTAAATTTATGTTGGAATAATAGTTATTCAAGTATAAGTTACGATGCTCATAAATGATTTATGTCCGTTCTTTGGATGCTTTTGAGAAGGAACTCATTTTAACCTTTTGTTTTTCCCGGAAATAAAAATCAAGGACTTACGTTTCTTCATGGTTAACTAGACAGCCGTCATATCTGGTATATCTTCATTACCTTGGCTAGTCAAACCCTTGTACGGGTTTATCAGGTGCATATCAACTTACCCTGACTATCTATACCATTTTCCATATTCGGATAATTTTTTTTCTATAATTAACTATGAGTGTTATGTTACAGTGATTCCTTCCCGCTTTTTGGCTATCGAAGAAGGTCATATTTGGTTTTGTCGGGACTTTTAGGAGCCTTTTCGTGGAGTTTGATGGCTACGTTTGTCGACACCAAATATGGTGTTGCCTTCTGCATACTTCTTGGATCCCTTTCTGTAGCCTTTTCAGATGTTGTAAGTATTTATTTCTTGTATGAATATAAGTTTGTCTACCGAAATCATTTAGGCTCTGTTTGGATCAAGGAAAATGATAAGTAAAAAGATGAAAGAACTAGAGATTTTCATCACATGGTTTCCCCACAAAATCATTCTCATCACCATTTTTCTTAGGAACAAAACATACTAGAGATTTTCGATTGCTTTTGCATTTTCATTTTCCTCATTTCGAAATCCACGAACCAAACAGAGCCTTAAGGTTCTTGTTTTACGCCATTCGACGATGCAGGTTGTGGACTCTATGGTTGTGGAGAGGTCTCGCGGTGAATCACAACGCATGTCGGGATCTCTTCAGTCTTTATGCTGGGGTTCTTCTGCTTTTGGTGGCATTGTCAGTTCCTACTTCAGTGGCTCCTTCGTCGGTGCTTATGGTGTGAGGTATGCCATATAATACCATCTTTTGTTCGTTTTTTTTATAACATTTTTGCTTATATTATATGACCCATTTTATTTTTAATGAAATTGTAAATAATTTGCAGGTTCGTCTTTGGATTAACGGCTTTGCTTCCCTTAATAACATCTGCAGTTTCGGTCCTTGTGAAAGAGCAGCCAATAAGGGGGCAGAATATGGGGGTTGAACGGGGGCTTCCTAGAAAGCTCCACGAACAGCGTAACGCAATTGTGTGATGCTGTTAAGCAGCCGAATGTTTTTCTTCCCACGTTATTTATTTTTCTGTGGCAAGCGACGCCACAATCCGACTCTGCCATGTTTTACTTCACGTACGTTGATTCTTTAAATCCCTTTTTCTCATTTCTTCCAAGTGTGAAATTAAGAATTATTATATTTTTTTAATATTTTTTTTTCCAGTACAAATAAACTTGGGTTTACCCCAGAGTTTCTGGGGCGTGTGAAGCTCGTCACTTCTATTGCATCACTGCTCGGTGTCGGACTTTATAACGGTTTTTTAAAAACTGTTCGTTTGAGGAAGATATTTCTAGTCACCACTATTATCGGTTCAGCTCTTGGGATGACTCAAGTAAAGCTTCATGCCCTTTTTCAACCCGAAGCCATTTTTTTCGATTACTCAGTTTGCAAATTCCGTTATCGGTTTTGAATTTTACATTTTTTTAGGTTTTGCTCGTCACTGGATTGAACCGGCAGTTGGGTATAAACGACGAATGGTTCGCCATGGGTGACTCCCTAATAATAACAGTTCTTGGACAGGTATACATTATCATACCGTATAGTTTGTATAGTTATTTTCGACAAAATTTAATGACGAGTTCTATTTTTTTTTTTTTTGCACAGGTGTCGTTTATGCCGGTTCTTGTATTAGCAGCGAAAATATGTCCGGAGGGAATGGAAGCAACTCTATTTGCAACGCTAATGTCGATATCCAACGGTGGGAGTGTTCTCGGCGGTCTGATAGGAGCTGGATTAACTAAGCTATTTGGTGTGACAAAGGATAAATTTGACAACCTAACTTTTCTCATAATTTTATGCAATCTCAGTTCTTTGTTACCTTTGCCTTTACTTGGCCTCCTTCCGGAAGATTCATCCGATTCCGATTCCGAGAAGAACGCTGACGTGGAAATGAAATCAAATTGATATTATATATATACAGGTGGGAAAGAAAAAGAAAAAAGTAGTTGTATATTGTAACAAAATGCTGTCTTGTAACTTTAGGATATTTCTCTTCTAATTTAAGTACCCTTTAATTTCATTTACTTTGTCTAATGTGACAAGTCAAATGGTCCATTTATCAAAACATGCCACGAGAGCATCAAACATACAGACAAAATAAATCTCATATTTGGTCCAATTTCAATTTGTTTACTTAATTAAATAAATCTCATATTTGGGTTTTTTTTTAATGAAAGAACCAACCAAGTGTTTTGGGTAAACTTACACTCTCGTATAATAATTTGTAAATTATACGATAGACGTAAATCACACACCATGTGTAATGATCTCAACCTAGCGATCGTTAACGAAAAGATTCGAATTTGGGTCAATTAAATTTTGTAACTTAAAAGGCACTTCTTTATATAGTATGCTACAAAAACCAAATATCAAATAAAGATTAATACCATGCCAATTGTATTTGAAGCTGAACCATCATTTTCATTTTTTCTGGATTAATTCTGTCATTTTCTGAAATTAAATTGAGCCTGGAAATTGAATTTGGGGAACCTCCCACGTGGCAAACTGATTGGAATTCACATGGCCAATAAATCTCCACAGTGTGTGTGTAGTCACATCTCTATAGTTTTTATTTAATTCAATTTTCAAGAAAGAAAAAAAAAAGTTAGGACAATATAAAACAAGGGAAACCACTTGTGGAGTTTGGCCACTTTAGCCTTAAATAAGAATAATATTTGGTTAATGTTTCAATTTTGTAGCCCTACATATCTAACTCCTATATATGCATAATGGTAATTAATTAATTACTAAAATATTACTATGATAATGTAATTCCATCTTAATGATGTTATTATTATTGCCTAAACATGCACACTACCTATAAATGTCACTTCAACAATCAATTAGCACATATTGTTAATTAGTACAATAATTGAGATTATAATAACAAAAAATCATGACCACCATATACATAAATAATATATTTATAAGATGCACCAAATCTTGCAACTAGAGAAACCAAAAAATACTTTCTTCATCAATTGTCACATGATATTCTTCTTCTTCAATTATTATGATATGATATGATATGATTTATATATAATATATATATATATACAAATATATGATGAATTAAAAAAAATATATATGGTGGATGATTGGAAATAAAAATGATTACAGAATAAGTGGTTAGGAGAAAATAAGATATATTGTAGCATGTGAGAAGCCATGTGAAGGGCAATAAATACAAAATTCAGGCCCCCATCAGGCAATTATATTTTTTTAGCCTACCTGCATATGAATAATTATAATGCTATAGAGGAAGAAAACAAGAACCCCATGTGGATATTCATTGGAACTCTTCAACTATATATTTATATATATATATATATATATATATATATATATATATATATATATATATATATATATATATATATATATATATTTATAATTATCCCATTATTATTTTAGTGTTCAAGAAAGAGATGTTATATATTAGTATTG